TTTCACACTTGTAAAAGTAAAATTGAATACATCACCATTGTCGAGCACTTTAAGAGCTTTTAATAATTACAAAAAAATTATCTATCAATAAATTTCTGAAATAAAGAATTTAACACCATACATACAACATAAAACGAATGTTTTTATTATTTTTTTATTATCACTTTAAAAATTTTTTTTTAATGAATTCAGATCAAATAATTTTGCTGTTATAAAACGATCATTGGGTAGAGCTTTATTAAAATTTACCTCTAGTTTAATTTTTAATGCTTATCAATTTATAATTGAGTTTTTTTATTTATTTTTAAATTTACATTGAAGTGTAGAATCGTGGTGAAGTAAAAATCTGATTTTAATATTTATTCTGTCAGTATATGTGACGTGACTTTATTTATAAATGTATCTATACATTTTTGTATCCTTAGATGGAAAGCATGAGGAATCCATCCTTGACCGAACACTAGTTTAAATTAATCTCCACGAAAATATATATTTTTAATTATATGAAAATTAATTTATTTATAATATTTGTAAATACATATGATAAATGTATGTTTAGATGATATTTTAATATAATTTATACATGTTTTTAGAAGCCATGGTCTAATGTTAGGTCATAAATAAACCAGTCTTGTTTTTTGTTTAGTTTAAATATTCAAGATTTTTCAGTAGTTCAATAATATGAAAATAATAATAAATCGAAGAGCAAAAAATCTATTCATTGATCTTCTTTTATAGTACAAATAACAAATAAATAAAGCTGATATGAATTTGTCAGAAATGTCATACAGTAAATAGATTTTGTACTCGAAATTAAACTTGAAAAAAAAAACAATTGAGTTTCACAAAAAATTTCTATAAGAGAAAATATTGTATAAAAATAAACAATTTACTTCAGTGAGTGATCAGGTTGTATAGCTGAAATAGTAGCGTATTTTTGAAGAAAGAGAAAGATTTAGTTGAGAAAAGTATCGCAAATAGTGACTGACGAGAGAATAAACCTCGAGGGTGCAAATATTGATGTAACGTGTGCTATCCGATCCGTAGAATAAACGCTCGAGGGGGTAGGTTGAGCTTCAGGGCTAGTACTAGCCAACTGAGAGGGCTTGAAACCGTTGGTGATGACGGCTGACTGATGGGATGCCTCAGAATGAGTACTCCCCTTATCGTTTTCTCTCTTCAGTTCGTTCTGCTTTGATATTGGATATCAATATCAGTCGAAACTTCCATGACTTACCGACAAAAGATAGTATCTTTAGAGTGTCAATTCAATTTCACAAGTTAAGGTACTGACTATCAATGTTGCAGTACAAGAGAATTCAATTCCCCTTTCATTTTCCAGTCACTTAACGATTATCATTATTTGCTCGATAAGTCAATTAAGCAACAATAGTGATTCTATTACTACATTCATTGCTTTGCAGGAATAAATAATTGAACTGCTGGAGAGAAGGGTTGGTACAAAAAATCGACATTTCTGTCCATGGACATTTAGTCATTACAAAAATAGCACAATGTAATAAAAATATCAAACAACTTGTTCAACAATTTTCATCCAAACATTTTTTTTGTAATTAACTCATGGGATTCATTAAAATTATAACAAGCACAAAACTGTCGCACTAATTGCTTTTTTTCGTGGACATGTTGAACCGAGTAATAAACAATTGTTTTTTTTTTCAATCACTGTACCAGATTACAATCCGAGTAAGTTTATCGAAATTTCTGTGTTACTAAAAAATAATTTCTATCTTTTGTAGTAATGAGTAGTAAAAGATAAAAAGTTGATAATCAATTATTTTATTTTTTTATTTTCTTTGTAAATATAACCTTATGTTGGCAACTTGTTTTTTACTTTGTCTGAAGAAACCGTTTTTTTTAATGTTACAGTATCAAAATTTTATCATATAAAAATATTATATGAGTTTAATAAAAAAGAAAAAAAAATGAATTCATTTTTATCCCAATGAAATAATATTTTGAAATCAATTTAACTTGAAAAGTAACTTTTCTTAAAATAATTCAGTTATTATCTTTGTAATGATTTTTCTTCGCCAATTGTTTTGTTCAAGTAAGACCATAGAGAGTCTCATGACTAAAAGTGATATTAATTTCCCAGCAGTATTACATTTGCGGGTATTAAATGAATAAAATTAATTATTATAAAGCCAAAACAGGAAATTACAGTATAGGAATATTCCCAAAGGAGTACATCGAACTTCTGGAACACGTTTTAGGTTCTCCTCAAAGTTTTATTTACGAGTCAAGACTCAGCAACGACTGGTGCAATTCGCATAGAGTGGATTAGTTGGTGTATAGCTTCAGACTTAACTTAGTTACTGCGGTAACTTTGATCTGCGATTCCAAACGCGCCACATGCTTTTATATAGTATCTTCAATAACTCACAATTGCGCATTGAGAATAGAGACTAGTACAAAGATAACAAGTGTAAAAGAAAAATTTAGCCATTTCAAGATTCCATTAGTCATGTTTGTAGGAATCAATATTTAAATCACTAATGGAACAGCTCTGAGCTTTAAGAGTCCACTTGATTCGAGTAAGAGTTGTGAGAGGGTTGTACTACCAAGGGAGAATATTCGAAAAGGGTCAACTCCCTCTTTGAATGAAAGTCGGCAAATTGAACTCGCGAGAAAGGTTAATTGATATACCATAGACCACAAAATTGCGGTTGTTGGATAGACCTACCTCCTCTTCCTTAATCAAAAGGAGTCAGAGATATTGAAAATAAGAGATTTAAACATTTTCATACCACAACAATGAAAATATGTTACCCAGTCTTCTAAGATAGAGGTATAAATTCTTTCAAAGTATAAGAAGGCAGGATAATAAAAAATAATAAATTACTTTCAGATAATGTTTGTATGAGTAATCTTGATAATCAAGGTTAGAAATGAGTAATAAAGCGCTAAGAATTAAAGCTTTCTCGTATAAATTACTCGTGATATGATTTACTAAGCAATTCAAACAGTGGACGTCTAGATAGAGAAGTTAGCATATATTTGAATAAATTTTAAGTTACCAACCTTTATTAAGACCTACGTATTTTTACAAGCTTTCATCTACTCGTGATATTGCTTTCAGTTCTGGTTTATAAATATAAAACTATACAAATAATTTTAAACAAGTTTTCTTCTCGAGCATAAAAAATCTCTTGATTAACTTGATAAAAATCTCCTCAAAGAGGAAATCTTCCTCATTAGTTCAATGAATATTTTATTTTATCAATTTGAGTTGATGTGAGAAATTTCTTCTTTCAAATATACATTTAAGTGATGTTAACTGATTTAGATTTCATTGAAAATGAGGAATTTTTAATCCTTTCTTGATGAATAGTAGCATTTTATTAGGGTAATCATCGCAAGACTAGAGCTACTTGCTCCAAGATGAGTCTCTCTAAAAAATGTGTAAAATTTTTAAACATTAATTAAATTTTTAAAAGAGCCTTTTCGACTCAGTCTTCCTTACAACGGAATTGTGGATAATATGAAATAAATAAATACAATCTGAAATAAAGCAAAAATTACTTTTCACGAGTGTAGAAAAATAACGCAATAAGTTATTTTTATAACTGGCAAGAACCAATTGTTGCTGCAGCATTGTTTTCGCGATAATTATAATTTCTAATAAAAAAAATGTCATCAACCATAATTAAACTTTCATAATGTTTTTTTTTTTCAAAAATAAAATTATTCAGACTTTCTTTTCTTTCTTGAAAACGATGTTAAGCATCTCATTAAACATTGAATAAATCATATTAACATTACTCTTAATTCCTTCCAGGCATTAGATTCAACAAGTTTTTAATAAATATTTTATTTAAAACAATTTTTTCATCAAATAATCATTGAATGTTTTTTCCACAATCCGTTGAATATTCTATTTGTTGTACTCATCTTTCTACGATGAAGATCCTTTTAATAGAAAAGACAGCATTATGAAATACTGAACAATAACAACATTATTCGTAGCCACCTAAGCATGACAGAGCTACGAGACAAGTCGTTCTGTTGTCGGAGATAGAATCGTGCGTGGATCAATAAATCGCGCGTGGAATGGAACGGAATGGTTCGTCAGAGAAGCAAGAGTGTAGCGAAGAGAGAGATATTGGGTAGAGAAGAGAGATGAGCTTTTGTCGACGGTCCGGCTGCTGGTGTTGGGGTCGGAGTCAACCGATTTCCGTGGTAGGGTCCTGCAGTCCCTCTGGCGCCGATGTGTTTCTCTCTGTTTCCCTACTGTCTGCTTTTATCCTCATTTATCTATTAATCCGAACATCCATCTCTTCCGGTCCTTTGCTACATCTATTCGTGCCACTTGCTGTGAATTTCAGTCGGATTACGATCATTAGAATTATTCGAGTATTTTGATTGTTTTTTTTTCGTTTTTGTTAACAGAGCTTTTTATTACAATCGATTCAGTTTATTGCGGTTCTTATCTGAAGTTTATTATCGAAGCTAAACAAATCTGAACAAATATTGAATTCATAGATGAAGTTATGCTGTTTGATAAATGAAAAAAAATAACGAGCTATTTTTCCATTTTTAATTGATATTTGAAAGTTTATTTTGATAAACCAATGTTATTTTTTCAATTCATCCGAGTATCGTTGAATCAATAAATGATCTAAAGTTAATTACTCTATGTCAACTAATGTTTAAAATTGATAAAAAGTATTCAATTTTAGCGAAAAAATCACAAAAGAGACGTTTTAATAACATTTTGGAGTATAATTGACAAATATTAATTTAAAAACCCCAATCAAAAGAATTCATGAAAATTATTCAATGACATTTGAGATAAAAAATACAATTATCAAAATTCATTTATTATTTATACAATAAAATATTAAACACATTTTAAAGTAATTTAAAATTTAAAAAAAAAAAAAAAACATAAAGCAACAAGTCATGATGTGTATACAATTAATTCAAAAACAAAGAAGAATTTTATATTCCTCATGATAACTAACTTTATAACAAAATTTTTTCCAACATTTTATTTTTTCATCTATTGTCTCTGAACTTAAAAACTCATCATCAGTCGCATTCTTGTGACATAAAATTTTTTCCTTTTTATTTCATACATAAAAAACGAAGCTAATTAAATATCTTTCTATTACGTATTCTGGCATTTTCATTGTATAGAGGAAGCGCTCGGGCAAAGTATTGCCGTGAAAATAGGTCACTACGCTAGGATTTAGATGCTAATCGGAAGTAATCCTTGTACATTCAGGTTGTTCGCGTATACTTCTACAAAATATGCGAGAAACGACATCACACCGAGTTTTTGTTTCGATTTTATATGAAACACGAGAAAATGTGGGAATATACGAAGTCATTAGTATAAAGTAATGTATGATATATTTATATATTTAACATTTATATTTTATTCTGGTGAGTGCTTTTAAATATTAATTTCAAACCAACTTGATGATGAGGAAAATTCTATTCAATGCATATCAATGGATATTTTATTTTTAATTAACTCTGTTAATTAAAAAATTTTACAAAAAAAATCCTTTGGTAAATATAGAATTATAGAATGAATTTTTCAATAATAAATACTACAGATAATGCCATTATGGAAGGAGTCAATATTGAAGAAGAAGATTCCGTTAATAAATATTTATCATTCCAATACTTCATATCTAATGTAGTGGCTAAAGTGATTATAGGTAGACTTTTGTTTCTGTCATCTATTTTGATAATAAATTCTCTGATACCAGTACCAATGTCTTCCATCTCAATGACTGTAGGAAATCTATAAGGATTAATATTCCTCAGACCCTGGAATGTTACATAAAATAAGCAAAATCATCATGTTTTGATTAAGAAAATATTATGAGTAGAAATGAAGATGATCGTAATGATGATTTAATAAGCAATCAATGTAGCATTTAGAACTGGACTGCGATGATTTTTTGAGATATATTAGAAGGAAGTGGTATAAGTTTATTTGAATTGTTGATACATTACTGCCTTGATTGGACATTCAGTTCCAAAGAGACCCAACATTTCTGGTATCATAAATTTGGTCTGTGGGATCGGAGGCATGCCAACCGAGTTACTCAAAATATCGCAAATGTCCATTGATTTTATGATAATGTGATTGAATTCATGTGAATCATTGCATTCAGCAAATCCAACTATAATCTACCAAGAATGTCATAAAGATTATTTTTTAGCAATATAAAAAAGCTTATAAATTTATAATAATTATTATTAATACATATATTTGTATGTATTAATACATGTATCTGTTGATAATAATTTAATCAATATCATAATAAAATAGTGATTATTTTAACTTTTCATGAATAATTGTATTATATTAATTTAATAATAGTATTCAAATGATTAAATAGAAATAATTCATTTTTCTACAACTCATTAATGAATTTACAAATTGTAAAAATGAATATTAAACATAAGTAGTGATGAAAAAATCAGAAAGAGATAAATTTTTTGATGAATGATAGAATATACCTCCATTTTAAGGTCATCCAAATAACGTAGGATTATTCATATAATTATTTTGAATAATCTATTAAATTTTATAGTCAACAAACGCTTTAGACTGTGACAAAAAAATTTTTTACATTTAAAAAGATGGTTAAGTATTTTAAAATAGAAAAATTATTCTTACATCAATGCCTGTTTTATCCGTAATGTCTTGTGTGTAATTAATAAATGATGGCCAAACATCATTTGCAGTCACAAGTTGAATTAATCCATCGTTATGGTCAAGTATCACTAGATTTTTTTGGGTAGTGAAATATTTTCTCTAGACCCAAGATCAATAAATGATGATTATTTTTAATGCTATGCATCAACAAATCATGGAATGTTTTCGATAAAATAATTGGAGTCTGGTAATTAATACTTACCATAGGTAGAGTGCCGCCTATTATTCCCGGTACAACCAATAAAAACAATAGAATCATCTTAAAACAATGACAAAAATGTTAAATGTTATACTTATTACTTGAAAGTTTGTGCAATAATGAATATTAGAATAGAAAATGGTTTTGTTATCAACGTAGCCTTCAATGATGTCGTAGTTTGTAGTGTAATTAGTTGTTACTGTGCAAAATATTATGTAGGTTATCAACTAAACTTCTCCGTGACTACTCATTAGAAATAATTTGTTTCTTTTTTCTTTGTTGAATATATTTTGAAATTGATGACTCTTTTCTGTCAGGAGTTATTAATTTGGATTAAAAGAATAGTTTTTTGTAAGATAAAAGTTTTCATTAAGCACTAAAATTTCTAAAAAATTGAATTTTTCATATTAAAAGTATTACCTTACATTTTTTATTCGCATATTAATATTTTTCATTTAGTTTTAAAACCGAGGCGGAGAAAATTTCAGCTCTCACATGTTGGAGAAAAAAGTTGAGTTTTCAAAGTCGAAGTGAATTTCCAGACATTAATTCTATTTGCCTCCCTTTTAAGTTGAATTACAATATTTTAATTACATTTTTTATAAATTTCCTTTCAAGACCATAATTGTATTTTTGCCAACTTCAATTGGTAATTGATGGTACTTGTAATGCCATTAATGATTCTATCCATTAAAAAAAGTTTGGACAGTTTTTTTGTTTGGTAAACAAAGTTTGTTTTTTATGTAATGATGTTTCAAAATTGAAAAGAGAAATATATCATTAAGTTAGTTATTTTAATTGAATTAACTTGTTATTACAATTATCTCTACACATGTATATGTATATGATGGTTCAACTTCGGTCATAGGATATGCTGAAGCTAAAAACAATCCAGTAAAAACTGTTCTAGTTCTGCTGCACTAAACTGATAATTACATGGATGAATAATATATTATAATTCATAATAATTATTATAATAAAAATCTAATAAAGCTTCAGTCACTACGATTTCAGTTTATAAAAATAAATATTAAGTCATTAATGTACCATTGTATTTATTATTATTATTAATATAATATAATATAATTCTTGAAAATTTTGATATTTTTCACTATACAATAAATATCATAATAAGTTTAAACATTTAACAACGAGAGATATGTGTATTCTTTTGTTGATTGAGTCAATAGTTTATGAAATATAGCAGCGTAAAGATTGTGTAGGGTCAGCTTGACCCCAGTAGAGTATATGATTGGTACCGGATGTGTAGTATTGAAGTGTTAATCTAGTATCGTTAGATACTTTGAAAAAATTTAATCAATGAAAATGGAATTGTCAAGCTTATTGATAGTAGATTATTATTTTAATGATTGATTATAGATCTACACATTGGAATTTTATTTTAGCTTCAATCAAACCTCAATCAGCTTGAGGTGAATCTAAAAACGGTTTGAGTGGTTATTAATTTATCGAAATGAAAGGTAAAAATTTTTAAAACACGAATTACAAAAGATAACTATCAGGTATAAACATTGAAGTCTATCACAGTTATTTATAACCATCTATTCGTCGAAACTGGTAACATTGAGGCCAGCAGCCGCGTCTGCTCAATTTGCATGGGAAATGGTCGAAGATCTCGTACATCCTCTGACCCAATAATATCCCGCGACTGTCTCCTCTTGCAAGCCGCTGGAATTCAATTACGGCAACGTGGAACGGAGCCAGCAGTTGGCAAAATCCGCTCGCTACCGCATGATAAATCCTCCTGAACATGTTTTCGTCAACTGCATTGATTTAAACAATTCATCAAACATTATATTGCTTCAAGCCTAATGTCTATTCTGCAATTATCATCAAAAGATTCATGGCTTAAAATATTCTGTTCGCAAGCTTATAGGCTTCAATAATAATACATTATAAAGGAAGTACCTGAAACAATACATGAATTTATGAGATCCATTACTGTGTATCCGCTTAAAATCACCGGACTGTGCTACCTTATCTACAGAGTTTGTGTGGTAGTTGAAGTATAGTGAACGAAATAGCATCAATCGATTGGAGTTACTGCAGATATTTTGAAAATACTAAAGAATAATAAACTAAAAAATTTCTCTAGTTATTGTTAATGAAATATTTGATTTTTATTTTTAGAAAAGCAATATTTCAAATGAATGCTTCGCATTTCATATCGACAAACACAGTTTTGTCCAGTTTCACTCATTAGTTTTTTTTATTCCTATTCTTCACACACTTCATTTCTCCGCATTTTTGTTTTCGAAAATCAAAAGACCTGGAGCGTTGCCAATCCACACTGTGTGTCTCGTCGACATTGTTCTTGTACTAGCCTGTATCTTTTGCCTCTAGACTGGGAGGTTTTTTTTTCTTCATTTTTCTAAATGTCTCTCGCATACACAAAATTCAAAAGAATGATTATTCAGAGTTTTCACTATAAACCTTTCTTTACAATGACACCATGAAAAATGCGATGCTAGTCTCATGAACTTTTTTTTTGAACTCTTTTTTTACAAGTATCTCTCTTTGCCTGGCACTACCTCAAGTTCCTTCTTCACTAGTAGTCGTAATGCAGACTCTAGAACAATTTGCCCTGCAGGCGTAAGCTTTGAAGCAACTTCAGTTGCATCTTGAGAGGATTTAATCGACCACTAGGGTAGAATACTATAACATTTATTGATTCTGCTGACGTAATCATCATTTTCTGATTCCTCTTGGATTTTTGTTAATTTTCAAGACAAAACGTGCTGGTGGATAAAGTAAAAACGAAGCAAAACAAACGAATTCCCTTTCCTTTAGCCTCCTTACAAATTGGTAAGACAATGATGAAGTCGAGGTTTTAAGTTGTATTATTAACAAAGAGAACAGAGGGTAAGCAGTTGAAACTGACATCCTCCATTCCAGCAGTATTTTCATCCTGAAATAGAGGGTTCATGTCCTTCCATTATTGAATGCAAATGTACGTTCGTTAGTTGTCGTTTTTGAACGTAAGGGTTTCTACCCTTGAGACAGGAGATGAACCCTTCTAATTTCTAAATTGACTTCTCATCGGTTTTTATAAATAATTCTGAGCTTGTTATTCCTTCTAATGCTTACCCCTTTTTTTGAAATCAGATATGTGTTGAGCTCTGGTTTTTTCATTCTGTTTACACTCTAGAGTCAAAAGTTGTGAAATATATATGATGGATTATTGGGAGAATTACCCTTTGAAATATCGATGGGTAAATGAGGAATACTAATTAGTCAATTTAAAAGTTTTGATTTATTTCAAAATCAACGATCATATTATTTAGTCGATTGTTTGTTTATCAAAATTTTTAGTAACCATAAATTTTTCAAAACTAATTGGCATAAAAATTCTTTCAATAATTCAACAAAATTTAAAAAGAAAATACAAATGAAAGACAAACTTTATTGAATATTTTTGATTAATTAATGTTTGTTGAATTTTCGACATTCGATGTTCACTGATAAATAGCAGGAAATTTTAATAATAAATTTTCCATAAAATAAATAATAAAATATTGGACAGTTTATCATAATTGGATCAAATTTGAAAGAGTTTTATTTCAATTTTTTGTGAAAATAAAGCTCTATTGAAAATAATATATTTTTAAATAATTTATCATTTAATGTTCTATAATAATCATCAGGTGAAATTTGATTGAAAGCCTTGGACTATAAGCTTTTATGAATTATCAATAACTATTAATTGTGTATCTAGAAGTCATGACATGGCAAGCATACTATTTATTAATAATAAATAAATAGAATTCGGACATGTTTACTATTTACACTATCTTGTCTCATCTTTGTTGGATGATTTGACTAGAACAATATACCCATGATCACGTACGGTAATTTGTGCTTCTCATGCTTCTCTGCATTACTATCGTCCAGCTGTCACGACAAGAGGCAAGTTAATGTGGAGCAAGTTATAGTAGAGATGAATTCATGTACTATCAAACACACTATCAATTGTGAGTGAGACTCTTACTTGGCTTTTTTGTCAAAAGTATATAGCACATTGTTGAGACAATAGTATGAGTCAGAGCATCTGAGCACTTTGCTGGTGACAAAGCTGTATTTGTCCATGAATAAAGATAGTCAAGAAGTGGCCAGAGATGTCACCACAGTTTCTAGAGGTTGGAAGAGATAAAGACAGAATATTACCTACTCCACAAAGCTCTCCATAGTCAGGTCGAGAGTTCATCTCCCCGACAACATATCAACCGGCTCGCGGACATGTACGCGCATGGAATATTGTCCGCACATAGATAATCCTCAAGTATTACACGTTGTGTATATGTAGAGTTGAGAGGCTGGAACTATGGATGGATGGACCTGAGACAAGAGACCAGAGGCAAGTTCTAACCCTCATCGACACCCTTGTGCTACTCTTGACAGTTCGAACCAGGTCTCCAGAGCTTCGTTCCGCTCTCAAAGCTACCCTCTCTTCTAAACGCATTGTCACGCATCATGATGGAATTTCAGCCTTTGTTTAACTTCCAGCGCCACTTAGACCTGACAATTGTTAAACCTTTAGTTGATATTTCACTTCTGTTATAGTGCTTGAAATTACATTGCTATATATAGTAAGCAAATTCTAAAGATGATGGGTTGAATCTCCAACAATTGTTGGTAAAAGTTTAGGCATACCTATTTTAATTACAATTGAATATTTTTTTATTCCTTTGTTGGTTCTTTTGGAATTCATTCATGTTTATTCAATGCTTAAAAATCCTTTATAACTCTTGTTGATGATCAAACCAAGATACACCAATTCTGTCAGATATTTTATCAATATTAAAAATTTGATTTTTAATACTCTAAATGTTAAAGAATAATTTTAATAATAATCATATTTGAAACAAATAACTCATTTAATTTTTTAAATACATACATGTAAGCAAAGAAAAGATGTATGATATTTCACTCACAAAATTTATTAATTAGCTACTGAATCTATTAATCAAGTATTTGAAATGATTGTTTTCTTTGAACGTTGGACAAAATATCGTTCTTTAAATTTAAATATTTCTAAATTAAGTCAAATTATTACTTCAATACATTTTGGATATTAATTCAAAGTCTTACGCACATTACGTCATATATTTGGGTTAATTAGA